CATGAAGGGAAGACACGTCACTGTTTTTGTGCATTTTCTGAGGTCACTCCATGGAGAAGCAAGTCGATGTTGTTGTCAATTTATTTTTGTTGAGGCGATCGTTTTTTTTGATGCGTTTGTTTTTTCCTGTTCTGCAGGCAGAGGCTCCTCCTGGGAGCGGCAAGCAGCTGCCATGTGTGTGTGTGTGGCCATTTGTACTTTATGTTCTTTTCTCTTTGCACCGTTTCTTTACATTTTTGTGCGTGTCGTGTTCATGCGTGTGCTTGGTGCATGTAGCGTGTAACGGGAGCAGTAAACAGTCAAATGTGTTGGCGAAGGACGATGAGGCGATGTGTGAAAACCAGCAGAGCCACGGCGGAAATGTTGTCTTGATGCCATTGACCATGTCACAGCGCCACGGAGACAGTGATGCAGGTGGTTGGAGAGGAGGGCCCACAAGATGTGTCGCCGTCAGCTGGGAGCCACATGTCTGAGGCCAGAGGAGTGGAGGCCTCGGGGTGTTTCTTGATGGTGTACTTGAAGCGACTGCGCGGGGCGGGCGAGACACGACCTGCAACTCTTGCTTTGTCACTCGACGTCATCCTCACCTTTGTTTTCTCCGTCAGTATCATGCTTTTTCTGGCGGTTGTCGATGAATATGGCCTGTCGCAGTACGGCCTGCAGCTGTATTTGCCATCGTTCTGGGCGTCGTGCGTGCTGACGGTTTGTCTCACAACTGCTCCGGGGGTACAGCCGCAGGCACTGTTGGGCTTACACTTCTTTGGTGCTTTGTTTGGTCTTTCCTTTGCTCATGCAACGAAGCCTCTCGGGCAGCCCCTTGGGCCTTTGCTGGCTAGCGCATTTGCTGTAGCTGTTCTTACCTGTGTTTGCCTCTTGTTTGGTTGGTTTCAGCCCTCGAGTTCGGCCACAACTGTGCTTGCAGCCTTTTACAAGTATGGATCAATGCACGACGCGGGCTACATCTTCCTTTTAACGCCTGTGCTGCTTGGCGTGGTCATTGTATTGGTTTGCTCGTGGCTGATGGACAATCTTATATACCATGGCGGCCGGCGTATCCCATTTGTTGGTGAATTTTTTTATGGAGTTTTTTATTATTATTATGCTTTTCGACTTGCTTACTGGGATTCAGGATCCATGATATTATTTATTTATTGTCTCTTTGTGCATACGTATGCGGTTGGCATTGGCGTTTGATTATGGGTGTAGAAGCCTATGGGCGGAATATAATATATATGTGTATATATTATTTTCGGTTTCCACTTCTATTTTAAAGGAATTTGCGAGCAAATGACCGTTCTTTGCTTGTGGGTTTCTTTCGTGACTGGTGGTTTATATATATACGTCTATCTATGTACATTGAGGCTGCTTCCCTTTGACCACGTACTGCTTATTTAATGCATATTCAAAGGGTGGTTTTGTTGTATTATTATTTTTTTACATCTTGCTTTTAGCCGTCGTAGCCACTATAGTTTTTCCTTTGTGGAGATTAGGTGCCGTCGACGATGTTTCGTCGATGTTTGCGACTCACAATTCCCCATTTGCGGGATCTGATTCACCGCTTAGACAATTTTGAAAAGGAACTTATTGAACTGAGGGCCTTTCGTCAGTTGGTTGAGGCGTCTTCACCAGACCTGGCAGCTGCAGCTGATGCGCTTACAAAGGAGCGACGAAAGGTACAGGAGGATTTAGACGTTGCTATGGGCAATCCTTTAACGGCCGATGAGTTTGTGGAGTTGAACCAATTTTACGCACTTCAAAAGGAAAAGAGGTTACCACTGGTAAATATGGTGCATATACGAAATACTGACGATCTCTACATGTATGCAAAACTTTTTCATCGTGAAAACCTGGTGCGTTTGGCACAGAGGGCCCGTGCCTTAACTCATGCCCCTATGGGATTGTCTCAAATGCCTTCTATACAGGAGTTGCGCCGGTGGTATGAATGGAGCTTTCATGGTATAAAGTCCACTAAACTTCCTGTTGATTTGGAAAGTGCGCGGCAATTTCATTCGATGATACGATGCGTATTTTTGAGACACTACAACGTGAGTGCATTATTAAGTGAGGGTATTTACGAGCTTGCACAACGGGAGATGTGGAGTGAACGCGACTTTTGCGATCAATCACTTACGCTTGTCTTTGAGGAGCTTCAGTTATTTTTTGATGACTTTTGTAGTGGTCGTGTGAGGCTGCGTTTTCTAGTGGGCCATTACATGTACTTGTCTACGCATATTCTACCTGTAGAGGAGACGGACCCTGAAAAGTTGACTGCCCCTTTGTTTTTTGATCATGATCCGAACACTTTTGTTGGTATGATATGTCGTGAGTGTTCGTTGGTAACTGTCTTGAGGTGTGCCATCCGCGCAGCAAATGAGTTGTATGCAGAATCTAATGTTGAGCTTCGTGTCGCTGGCGATCCGGACCTAACCTTTCTTGGTATACCGTATATAATGTATGATATCGTGTCTGCCATGATTGATGATGCCGTGCAGGCGAATATGATGCGGCAGGAAAAGTTTGGTGTAGCTTGCACACCCGTAGTGGTGACTATTTCTCAGAGAGATGAAAACGAACAAATTTGTGTTAGTGTATCAGATACTGCGGGTGGAGTGCCACTCGAAGAGGTGAAGCATGTCTTGAAGTACTGGTCATCATTCAAGGCCACTGATAATGAGAAAAAGGCGGCTAAAACGTGGATTCACAGTCCTATTAGAATGCCATATGCATATTGTGCGGCCAAAGTAATGGGGGGTGATATTTCTGTTGTGTCAATTGAGGGATACGGTACCGACCGTATTTTGTACGTCCCCCGCTCCGGCATTATAAATATCAGCATTTAGTGTTACATTGAGGAAATAAACAGAAGGGAAAAACGGAGGGAAATTGAGTTGTGATCCAAAATTCTTCTTGGGTTTTTGTTTTTCTTCTTTCTTGCCTTGGCCACCAGTCATTTGAGAAATGGAATAACACCATGTGTGTGTGTGTGTGTGTATGTGTGTGTGTGTGTGTGTGTGTATGTATGTGTGTATGTGTGTGTGTGTATGTATGTGTGTGTGTGTGTGTGTGTGTGTGT